CACATTGTATTTTAGTGTAACAATACCCACATGAGAATTTGTACCAAACTTTACTGAATTATTGGGGGTTTTTTTTTGCCTATTCAATGGAATGTTCAAACATTCAGAGTCTGTGTACAAGTAGTTTGTAAGGTTTTAGAATCATCTTTTGCTAAAGCTTTTTGCTTACTCCACCACAGTAAAAGCTATTTTTGTCAAGCAGATGTTGGATACAGAATACATACCTGCAGTGTTGACAAGTAAATGTTTTACACTTATGATTGTTGTGCTGGTACTCTCTTTGGAAAAGGTTTTATTGACACATAATGGTGCCAAACCTCTGGGTATCCATGTAGCTTAGCAACTACAGATCAACTTCTGCCTATTTGCTCAAAGTGGTAGTTGGTGTTATTTCAGCTTTTGTTCCAAGTGAACAAATTAATGGCAAATATCAGGAATGATTTTCAATGTTTTGAGTATAATCTCCGAAACCTGAAAATGAAATTTTGTTACAAAACTTAATCATTATAATGTTTCAAGCTGATCCATTGGATTAATTGCAGGATGGAGGATAGACAAAATCAACCATACCAAACACAACTTGTCCTCATTTTCCACATTTATCACTGTCTCAGAGATACTGCTAGGATGTAGGAAAAATGAACCACACAAAACTGGTATGCACCTGGAGAGCATTAATGTGTGAGAATTCCTGCAAATTAGTGTAAAGTCATGCATATAAAAATGTACCCTGCAGTATAAAATGTTTTATTTAACTGGGATTGTCATGACATAGCTTATATAAACAGACATATTGAGATACTTGTCTCATTTAGTTTTACACATTTGGGTTACTCAGTTTGATATGAATAGTTGTTAAGTGAAATTTTATGGGCAGACTGCACATGGAACAATCATTTTCTTGTAGTTTGAACCTTGCATCAAGGTGGTTTTACAAATGTGTTTAAAGTACAGGCTATCTAGAACATAAGAAAAGCTGAATGCCAGTCTGACTTATCTTCAGATGATAATATTTGGGGCAAAATAATGGCCGATTATAGTAATGATGACAATGATTGCTTAAAGTTATGAACTATATCAGATTATTGGAGCTGAGAAAGTACTGAAAAGAGTGATTTTGAACCTGAAAATGATGTTGAATATGAGTCCAGTGTACATGCTGGATTGGCAAAAGTAGACAGCGTGCAGGTCTACCCCTCTTTCAGTGGTGTTTGAAATACTAATTTAAGAAGGTGAAACTTTGCCAGAATGTATGTTAGTGAAATAACCTTATTTTGGAGCAGAATTATCTCAAAGACAATACCTATGAGCTGTGGAAAACTGTACATAGCAACTATAAAGAAGTTTCCAACTTGTTCAAGCTGGCTACATATTTATATGCCCCTTCAGACTGCATACTGTGTCAGCACAGAACAATATTTGCACACAAATTAGATGCTGTTTAAGTTCAGAAACAATCAACAGATTAAAGTTTATACAACTAGTGATGACAATTTTAAATTATTTTGATTTCAGTAGTGCTCTAACAGACTAGAACAGAAAGAAAGAGAGACATATTGACCAGCAGAAAGGCTGGGAATGTAGGGAAGTCTAAATTGAATCCATCCTGAACATAAGTTTTTTTCAAACTTTTCAAGGATATTTACATAACCATTGCTGATTGATGGTTTCATTGTCTCTATAGTTATGATTTCACAGGAACCATAGATGTGACTGTAATGTTGATATAATTCCTGAATACATATTCAAGGCAAGCTTCAGAGTGTTGCTGATGCTTGGGATGACCTCACCAAGTGATATTAAAGATCATTAAAGCTCTTGTGTAACTTGGAACTTATCATGGGGTCCATGCACAACAGCCTCTGAATGGCAATAGTAAGTGCCATATGGAAACAGATTTCCTCATCTGCAGTTTGAGCCAACTTGGTCTGTGGAAGAATTGTAATATGTAACTGTTCTGCTGTTGCAAGAAACTGTCTCACATTTGGACACTGTTCCTCTGGAGGAACAGTATATATATATATATATATATATATATATATATATATATATATATATATGTATATAAAGAATACAAATCTTATGGCGAATAACAACCCTTTCAAGCGAATAACAACCCTTTCAAGCGTACTGGATCCACCAAGGGATCACGTGTGTCAGGGATTAATTAAAATAGATGCAATAAACTGACGACGAACAGTACAAAACTAGTAACTAACTAGCCTAAGCGCTTTCGACTCTTAATGAGTCTTTTTCAAAGGCAAATAAAAACAAATAAACACAAAAACGTTGTGTTTGTAAACCTCTACATGGCTGTCTTCACATGTGCTAAAACTATAAATACAACCAGCTTGTATAGACTAGTTGCGGAAACTGAAAACGTTGTATAATTCCCTAAAAGTCTAGTAGCCAAAGCGACATCTATTTTTACTTTGTGTACATATGTAACGCAGATTGTATCCCGGATATTTGATTCTATACCGGTTATTCTTATAGTAAAAATTGAAGGATAATAAGAAGATTTAGAAAATGTTAAATTCTACTAGTGCATAGTTTTCATTTTCTAGTCTTCTTGGTTTAGACCGCTTGATTTCAATGTTCTAAGGCGGCGTATCCAGTATGATTTCTTTTCCTTCCTGGTTTCGGAACTCCAGCTGTGGTTGTTAGCAATAGCGATAAGTATTATATCACTGAAAGTGTGGCCAGGGGAGGAGAAGTGTTCTGCGACCGGGCTTCTGTACAGCTTTTTTGTCATCCAATCAGATCTATGAAGGTTTATCCTTTTGTGTAGCTTTTCAGTTTCTCCAAGGTACTGAAGGCCACAGATCTTACATGTGATGAGATAAATCACATTCTCTGTTTTGCAGTTTTGTTTGGACCATGTATGTTTAGTTTTTCTTTAGTCAATGTGCTAGTGAATGTATTGGTCTCTATCATATGTTGACAGGTTTTGCATCTTTTATCGCCACAGGGTCCAGATTGACTAGGTTGGTTTTGACTAGCGATTGGCATTAGCTTTGCCCTGACTAGGATGTCCTTTAGGTTTTTTGGTCTCCAGTAAGGTACTATAGGTTTGTTCGGAAGTATTAGGTTTAGTATGTCTGAATGTCTGACGATTGCATTGCACATTAGCCAGTGGTTTGTGATGATTTTACCTACTTTGGAATTGTTTTACCTACTTTGGGATTGTCTGAGTGATAGGTCAGAATAAATGGTATCCTATCAACCTTTACTTTCTGTCCATATCTGAGTAGGTCATCACCATTTGTTTGTTTGGTCCTTTGGATTGCCTCTGCAATCAGGTCTTTGTTGTAGCCTCGGTAAATTAAATGTTTAGCCAGCTCTTCAGACCTTTCTAGGAATCTTTCATGTTGGAGCAAATTCTGTGTATCCTCAGTACCTGGCTATATGGAATGTTCTTAAAACAGTGTTTTGGATGACAGCTGGTTGGGAGGAGATACTGGTGTTTGTCGGTTGGTTTTGAGTAGATGTCTGTGTGTAATTTGTTTTCCACCAGTCTGGTTGTTGTGTCCAGGAAAACATGGTTTGAGTTGGAAATTTCTGCCGTGAATTTTATTGAAGGATGGAAGTTGTTTGCCTTTGATATGAAGTCATCCAGACTTTCTCTTCCATACTGCCAGTTCATTTCTATATCATCGATAAAGCATACCCACTGGTATGGTGTACACTCAACCGATGCTTAGATAAGAGCTGACCCTCAAGTATTGGAGAAAACTCAGCATAATCTAGAGGATATTACATGGTTTTATGGTATCAAGTTTTCTTTTTAAATAAAATTTCAGAGAAGAAACTGATAAGGTCAGGTGTTCCACAAGGATCAGTTCTTTTACCTTTACTATTTGTGCTGTACATCAATGATTTACCATATCACATATTGAGCTATCCACTACCAAAATGTTTGAGGATGATACTAACATTATATAACATTGGAACAACAGGCTATGAGAGTAGCACTAAATTAAATAAAGATTTAGTAAAAATAAATAACTGGTGTCAATACAATTGTATGAAGATAACTGCATCCAAATCAAAATCCCTGATCACATGTAGTCAAGCAAGAGTAAAATTTGATAAAAATTATTTCAAAGTAATGATAAAAGGAATGTATATACAACAGTCTGAAAATGAAAATTTACTTGACATTATGATAGTCCATATCTTGTGTTGGAATTGCAAAAGTTATTTCACTGTTTTATCTCTTGAACAGAATAAAATCTTATCTCCCTCAACAACATATAAGATATTATACAATGCATATATCATGCCATACCTAGAATATTCATGTTCTATCTGGGGTAATAGTGGTATAGAAAATCTGGAAAGATTACTGAAATTTTTAAAAAGACTCATTAGAGTTATTCCTTATGCTGATTTAGATGCACCATTGACAGATCTTTTAAAACCCTACAGCGGCTTCCATTTCAGCAGAAAACTCAATTTCAAAATGGTTTACATGTACTAGTCTATAAATCCTTGCATGGTTTGGCTCCTGATTGAAATGTAATTTTAATTTTGTTAAAAATGTACATGTGTAACCTTAGATCCATCTCAAACAAAATGTTATATTTACCTAAACCCAATTCAGAGTTATATATATATATATATATATATATATATATATATATATATATATATATATATATATATATGTACAAATGTCATTGTAGAAGGCCTCATTAAAGATTAGTCAGTTGACCCAATGAACTTCTTTAAATATAGTTGTTGTTGTTGTTGTTTATATTATTGTGATGTGATGTGAATATGATTTTTAAGGTAGCTTTAACAATTTTTAATTCATATCACTACAATGCCTGAAGTGTGATAGTTTATAGTGATGTCTAGCACTGTGACATCATGCCGCAGACATGTAACATGATGTCCCACCCATTCACATTATCCTGACACCAGGCCGACCAGTCCTAACACAAACCTCTTAATGCTGAGCACCAAGCAAGGAAGCTGTTAGTACCATTTTTGTAAGTCTTTGATATGACTAAACCAAGGATCGAACACACGACCTCCTGCATCTGAGGCGGATGCTCTAACCATTAGGCCACCAGAGCGGTATTATTATTATTATTATTATTATTATTATTATTATTATTATTATTATTATTATTATTATTATTATTATTATTGATATTTGTTATTATTATTATTATTATTATTATTATTATTATTATTATTATTATTATTATTATTATTATTATTATTATTGATATTTGTTATTATTATTATTATTATTATTATTATTATTATTATTATTATTATTATTATTATTATTATTATTGATATTTATTATTATTATTATTATTATTATTATTATTATTATTATTATTATTATTATTATTATTATTATTATTATTATCTTTTAATTATGTTTTTATTATTATTAGTATTGTTGTTATTAGTATTATTGTTATTATTATTGTTATTGTTGTTGTAATTATTATTATTATCCTGTGATGCTTTTTACATATGGTGATATATATGGTTACATCAGGCTGTCCAAAGTATTGATCTTCACAATATTGATCTTCATAAGAGCAACAGAGATCCCTGCTTGGATAAAAGTTTCTCCAATAAATCACTAGACCAAATTACCCATAATGTTCCATCACTAAATGCTGCATCAACCCATGCACAGCCATCCTTTGCTTTTTTGTATCCAAAAGATTGTCATGATCATGCTTATGTATGTCAGCTGTGGTGTCTGGTGCTTATATATGTCTTTCAGTGGTGTCTGGTGCTTATGTATGTCAGCTGTGGTGTCTGGTGCTTATATATGTCTTTCAGTGGTGTCTGGTGCTTATGTATGTCAGCTGTGGTGTCTGGTGCTTATATATGTCTTTCAGTGGTGTCTGGTGCTTATGCATGTCAGCTGTGTGTCTGGTGCTTATATATGTCTTTCAGTGGTGTCTGGTGCTTATGTATGTCAGTTGTGGTGTCTGGTGCTTATATATGTCTGCTGTGATGTCTGGTGCTTATGCATGCCAGCTGTGGTATCCAGTGCTTATGTATGTCAGCTGTGGTGTCTGGTGCTTATGCATATCAGCTGTGGTGTCTGGTGCTTATATATGTCTTTCAGTGGTGTCTGGTGCTTATGTATGTCAGCTGTGGTGTCTGGTGCTTATATATGTCTGCTGTGATGTCTGGTGCTTATGCATGCCAGCTGTGGTATCCAGTGCTTATGTATGTCAGCTGTGGTGTCTGGTGCTTATGCATATCAGCTGTGGTGTCTGGTGCTTATATATGACTTTCAGTGGTGTCTGGTGCTTATGCATGTCAGCTGTCATGTCTGGTGCTTATATATATCTTTCAGTGGCATCTGGTGCTTATGTATGTCAGCTGTGGTGTCTGGTGCTTATATATGTCTGCTGTGATGTCTGGTGCTTATGCATGCCAGCTGTGGTATCCAGTGCTTATATATGTCAGCTATGGTGTCTCATATATGTCAGCTGTGGTCAAGTGCTTATATATATATATATATATATATATATATATATATATATATATATATATATATATATATATATATATATATATATATATATATATATATATATCAGCTATGGTATCTGGTGCTTATATATGTCAGGTCAGGTTTTTGGTGCTTACATATGTCCTCTGTAGTGACTGGTCCTTCATTGAAATCATCACATGACTGGGTGTATTTCCTTTGATTTGTTCCAAAATTGTTCATATTTATTCTCAAGTTTTGTGATTGTGGATACCATTTATATATTAATGCTAAATGCATTTTTTCAAATTGCAATGATTTTTGTTGTGTCAGATGTAATTGCTGATCATTGCATTATCTTTGAGGTCTTTGCTTGGGATTTTGCAATTTTTAACTGGCAACAGTTAATTTATGCAATTTAAGGCTTACCTGTACAATCTCATACAATGATTTTTCTGGTGTTTTATTATATTCTTTGCCAGGTTTTCATTGTTCCAATGCACTGTCCTTGTCCTGTTTAATTTATCAGACTGCCACAAGTACAAGGTGTTTTTGTATGCATACATTAACAAGGCCAAATATTGCAAAATAAATATATAAAGTAAGGTTCTTTTCTCTTGTTTAACATATTACTGTAGCTTTGGAGTTTCAGTGTTGTAAGAGAAGATATTCTGTTCTATACATTTATACTTTATTTCATTGGTTCCCAAATATTTGGGCCGCTACATGTTTTGTTATCCTCAGTGCCCACCTACCTTACCTTGTAGCAAACATTATTCAGCATTAACCCCTACCCCCATAATTCCACTTAAGCAACCACTGCTCTACATGATAACTAAAAAAATATTTAAGTTGTTTTAAACATGTGATTTGCAATTGAAATTTATTTATAAACTCAACTATAAAACATTCAAAATTTCAACCATTAATCCTCACAGAATTAAAACTATGAAGGATATTTTTTCCTCTGTAAATTTTACCATTAGTAATTTTCTTAATTCTGAATGTTAAGGTTCAAAAACATGTTCCATTACTCAGGAGTTTTATTTTATCAGGTGGAAAGTAAATGACATTATGCCTATCAATTAAAATATGAAGTGTTGATTTTCTAGCTACACTATTGATATAATAGGTAGGGACTTTGATTGAGATGCCAACATCTAGCTACACTATTGATATAATAGGTAGGACTTTGATTGAGATGCCAACATCTAGCTACACTATTGATATAATAGGTAGGACTTTGATTGAGATGCCAACATCTAGTTACACTATTGATATAATAGGTATGGACTTTGATTGGGATCCCAAGATCTAGCTACACTATTGATATAATAGGTATGGACTTTGATTGGGATGCCAACATCTAGCTACACTATTGATGTAATAGGTAGGGACTTTGATTGGGATGCCAGCATCTAGCTACACTATTGATGTAATAGGTAGGGACTTTGATTGGGATGCCAACATCTAGTTACACTATTGATATAATAGGTAGTGACTTTGATTGGGATGCCAACATCTAGCTACACTATTGATGTAATAGGTAGGGACTTTGATTGGGATGCCAGCATCTAGCTACACTATTTATGTAATAGGTAGGGACTTTGATTGGGATGCCAGCATCTAGCTACACTATTGATGTAATAGGTAGGGACTTTGATTGGGATGCCAGCATCTAGCTACACTATTTATATAATAGGTAGTGACTTTGATTGGGATGCCAACATCTAGCTACACTATTGATGTAATAGGTAGTGACTTTGATTGGGATGCCAGCATCTAGCTACACTATTGATATAATAGGTATGGACTTTGATTGGGATGCCAACATCTAGCTACACTATTGATATAATAGGTAGTGACTTTGAATTGGATGCCAACATCTAGCTACACTATTGATATAAGAGGTATGGACTTTGATTGGGATGCCAACATCTAGCTACACTATTGATATAATAGGTAGTGACTTTGATTGGGATGCCAACATCTAGCTACACTATTGATGTAATAGGTATGGACTTTGATTGGGATGCCAACATCTAGTTACACTATTGATATAATAGGTATGGACTTTGATTGGGATGCCAACATCTAGCTACACTATTGATATAATAGGTATGGACTTTGACTGGGATGCCAACATCTAGCTACACTATTGATATAATAGACGGGGAAACTTTGATTGGGATGCCAACATCTAGCTACACTATTGATATAATAGGTAGTGACTTTGATTGGGATGCCAACATCTAGTTACACTATTGATATAATAGGTAGTGACTTTGATTGGGATGCCAACATCTAGCTACACTATTGATATAATAGGTAGTGACTTTGATTGGGATGCCAACATCTAGTTACACTATTGATGTAATAGGTAGGGACTTTGATTGGGATGCCAGCATCTAGCTACACTATTGATGTAATAGGTAGGGACTTTGATTGGGATGCCAGCATCTAGCTACACTATTGATATAATAGGTAGTGACTTTGATTGGGATGCCAACATCTAGCTACACTATTGATGTAATAGGTAGTGACTTTGATTGGGATGCCAACATCTAGCTATACTATTGATATAATCATTATGGACTTTGATTGGAATGCCAACATCTAGCTACACTATTGATATAATAGGTATGGACTTTGACTCGGATGCCAACATCTAGCTACACTATTGATATAAGAGGTATGGACTTTGATTGGGATGCCAACATCTAGCTACACTATTGATATAATAGGTAGTGACTTTGATTGGGATGCCAACATCTAGCTACACTATTGATATAATAGGTATGGACTTTGATTGGGATGCCAACATCTAGTTACACTATTGATATAATAGGTATGGACTTTGATTGGGATGCCAACATCTAGCTACACTATTGATGTAATAGTTATGGACTTTGATTGGGATGCCTACATCTAGCTACACTATTGATGTAATAGGTAGGGACTTTAATTGAGATGCCAACATCTAGCTACACTATTAATGTAATAGGTAGTGACTTTGATTGGGATGCCAACATCTAGCTATATTATTGATATAATAGGCAGAGAAACTTTGATTGGGATGCCAACATCTAGCTACACTATCAATATAATAAGCAGGGAACTTTGATTGGGATGCCAACATCTAGATACACTATCAATATAATAGGCAGGGAAACTTTGATTGGGATGTGAGCAGCTGACAAGATATTTATCAGAGAGCAACAGTTAATATTAACTCACTCAATGCATGAGATAATATTTAGTGGACTTGAGAAATTACATCAAGTTCAGACAGAAAAGATGCAGTAACACATTTATATATGCTAGTAAATAAGTAAAGCATGACATGTTTTTTTATTTTTTTATTTTTCTTAATCCAAAATTTGTCTGAAATTGGATTTACTTGAATCTGTTTCACAATTTGGCCACCATGTGACAGGTGTCAAAGATGTGCTTAAAGATTCCTATGTAGAATTGTGATGATTTGTTAGATTCAAATGTTTTGTATAAAAAAATAAATTTTTAAATTTATTTTGTCCTGAATAATGAAAACAAACTGCTAATATCCTTAAAGTTGTATCAAGATTCTTGGGAATTGTCATGCCT